ACACAGTCAGCACAATATTGTAATTAAAACACTATTGATGGTTTCACTAAGTTTTTAAAGTTTTTTTGTTGAGTCACCATCCCTGAAGGGATTTAAAAGATGTGTAGACATGGTTTAGTGGTGGTCTTGGCAGTGGGGGAACATTTGGATTCAAAGTTCTGAAAGGTTTTTTCAACCGAAATGATTCTCTAAGTCCTGTGCACTCTCCTGCATGTTCCTGTGCTTGGTTGGTGCCTAAAACTCCCATCCTGGAGGCGGTGAGAGCTGTAGATTCTCTCACCTTGCATAACAGCACTCAGCTGCCCAACAATTCCAAAGGCAAGGTCTACTGCTAACGTGTCCTCTAAGAGACTTCACCTCGAGAGAAAACTGCTGTGTGTTCTGAAATTCAGAGCCTGAGGCAGGAAAGCAAAACCCCAAAGGGTGAGATCCTCAGAGAACATACTTTTCCTCAGCTAAGCTCCGAGGCTGTGCCAGCTGAACCAACAGCTGTGGCACAACAGTTTTGAGATGGAAAAGGATACTGAGGAGCTACAGGGCTGTTGTGTGATAGGATGTACAATCTAATGTCATCTGCAGGGCAGGAAGGAGCCCCCAYTGCAGTCCTACTGACATGGACCAGCACATCAGGCCTCCCTTGAGTCTTCCTTTTAAGATGGAGCTCAGATGAGACAAATAAATTGTTTCTCTCTACAAGATGTAAGGGCTGAAGATAAACCTATTGGCAGCATGAGCACACCTGGGAGCTTGAGTTCCCAGAAACCAGGAGRGAAGACTCCAGACAGGCTTTTCTCCAACGTCAAGCTCCCCCACTGACTCACAGCTTGCTTTTATTTACCTTTTCCTATCCAAACTCCAGATTCCCCAATTATCTTTCTTGTTCTAGCTAAAAAGAAGTCAAACACCTTCATTTGTGTGTCTAAATAACCCACTGCTATAAACTTGCGCTCTCTGAAATTACAGTTCAAAATCCCTTTTAAATTTTTCCCCCCTCCCATTCCCAGCTCTTTATCCCCTGGYACAAGTGGCACACTGCTTCCTGCCCTCTCCTTTCTAACTGAGCTGAGATTAATTAACCAGCYATAGATTTTTCTTGATTACAATGCTAAACCCCTTCTTTCTCCACAAATTAAAACCAAGATGATGCATGTTTTCTTCTGGTGATTCTTCTGGGTGTTGATTACAAAACCAGTACTCAATCTGCRTGGTAGCTGGTAGGAGATTTAAATACCTATTTAATGAATTGTTTTCATGTCAGACTGAGCAATGATTAGGGTTTTCTTTTGTGAGGTTGTTTTTAATGACTGTGAAGGAGGACTAGGAAGCTGCCAGTGAAACCAGATGTCACCTGCACCAGTTGCAGTGTAAAAAAAAATCAACCAAAGCCCACCAAAACAAGAGGCTTTGCTCCAGAGAGCACAGAATGCAAAACCAGGCTCAAGAGCAAGTGAAATAATCTCATTCTCTGTTTTACAGATAACAAGTGACAAGCCCTGGTGTTAGATCCATCATCTGCTGCAGCCTCTTAGTGACTCCACAACCGTGACAGGACTCAGGACTGGAAATGCACAGCCATCAACTGGCTGTCTGCCCACAAAAAATCCCTGTTGGCTCCTTCTCCTGGCATTCATAAGGCTATTAAAGCATTTCCCACTCACTGCTTACAGTATACTGAGAATTAGACACCCTGGGACAGGCTGGAGGAGCTCTCTGCATCCTGTAGTTCCCACATCCAGCATCCTCAGTGTGCTCTGCACATGCATGGATCCCCAAAACACCCCTTTCAGATTTAGCAGAAGCGGACAAAACTTCATAGCAAAGATTCAGCTGGAAATGCCAAGCTCACCCCGAATTCTGTAACTCAGGGAGAGATTGATTTGAGTAAAACAATATAAAAATCAAAGGATGTGTGTGCAAGACATACAGCTGCCCCAGTAGCTCTCTTAAAATCCAAGCTCTCTGTCCCAGCATTTTGCAGCACCAGTGCCCYTTCTAGAACTCTAGACTGGCACAACAACTTGCTGAGTCAGGTGTTAATGCTTCAGGCTTGACTCACACACTGTTTTAATCAAGTAACGTGCTCTCTGGAGCTCACAGAAAGCCCATTTAGAGAATAATATCAACAGCAAATTTGTCATTTCAGAGGGGGCTGGGAGTTTTCCTCCCACTTCAAACAGCATCTTAACCTGCTCCTTGATGAAATTCCCTTATCCCTCACACAGCTCATCAGGGTTTGCTTCTCCAAACCCTAACCTGTGCTCCTGGCCAAGGGAGCTCCTCCTGCCCTTTCCCCAGGGGTGGGAGTGTACCATGGACAGTCACAACAGCAGGGCACAGGCTGTCATGCTGTCACCACTTGCATGCTGCCACACCCCTCAGAAGGCTTGGAAGAGGCAGGACATTCCTCCACACCACTGCTGGTATCCTTCTTCTTACCAAGACTCAAGTTTTTTCTGTTTTAGACAAGGAGAGACTGTTGAGTCTCTACCTGTGGCACCTTGCAAGGAGGGGCTTCAGCAGCACTTGGTGGCAGATCTGGTAACATCTGCAGGATAAACCCCTTGAAGGGTTCAACAGAACTTCAGACCTAACCATAATGGAGGTTGTGGCTGCCCCTGAATCCCTGGAAGTGTCCAAGGCCAGGTTGGATGGGGCTTGGAGCAACCCGGGATAGTGGAAGGTGTCTCTGCCCATCGAGGGCAGGAACTAAATGATCTTTAAGATCCCTTCCAAGCCAAACCAGTCTGTGATTTTATTATTCTCTAACTGGAACCAAAGACAACTGATGCATGTGAAACCCCCAAGAGGTTCTGCTGGTGGCAGTGTGTACCACCAGCAACACTGCCACTGTGCTCCCACTGGCCAAACACATTTGCAAAACAAGCASAGTCCCTGGAGAAGTTGCAGAGAGGAAGAAGAGAGCCAGATGAAAAMGACAAAATGTAGCAGTTGGAAATGCTTAAAGTCACAGATTTTGGAAAGACAAGAAAAAACCCGCTTCTTCCCTGGGATCCCATCCTTCAGTAGGGGAAACACAAAAACCTTACAAACACTTCTGCAGGGGACAAAGAAGGAACAAGAGCTGCTAATCCTCCCTGACCCTCACTCTGCTTTCTCAGCTCATGTCTACGCAACTCTGGGATCATCTATCACTTTCCAAAAATACTGCTCATTTCCTGTATTTCTGTAATTCTATMCCCTGGCATCAAACACTACCTTTTGTCATTGTCTCCTCATCTCAGATGGATGTACTTCCTTTCTGTTACAATGGCATATTCTGTAATTAAGACCCCTCAGCCCCTGAGTTCAATTGCTATTGAATCTCTGCTATAGCACAAGAGTTGTTTGAAAGAGTGAGTCATTCAAATGATTTAAAGTCTTACACACTTCTGAAAGTTATGAAATGTGGTGTGGGAAGAAGTAACAAAACCCCATTGCACCCAGAAGCAGAAAACAGCCCAGCTACCTGACATTCTGTACCCCTTCTGCATGACTCGTGCACTGTCAACTTGTCCTCTGAGTTTGTAACAACCCCTGTGAAGCCTCTGTTGTGGGCTGTCTCCTTTTCCCAGCTCTTTCCCACCTCTGCAGTCCTCGCTGTGGCCCTGAGGTTGCTGCCAATTTACACTGGTCTGCTCTGCACTGAGCAGCAGATGCTCCATGACTCATGCAGCACTCACAGACACAAGTTATCCATAACAGCACCCTAATTAATAATACCAAATGTCAGCTTCCAAACTAAAACATGGACATGTTTGTGTGTTTAACCACGCTAATTTAGAAGRCAGTGTCTGCTCCCCTGAAGGGTTCAGGACCAGGTTTGATGGCTCTTRGAGCAACCTGGGATAGTGGAAGGTGTCCCTGACCGTGGCAGGGGSAGGGATGAGATGAGCTTTAAGGTCCCTTTCAACCCAAACCATTCTGAGAKTCTATGATAAAAATATAAAGTAAGATATGCTGATTTTCATCTATCACATGAATGATTTTCATTGAATTTTGAGAGTCAGAAAGAGACAGACATTCAAAAGAGCCAAACAACCTTGAAAAACAGAAAAAAATACTGTCTTAGCACTACTAAGAGCTAAATTTCCACCCCCAATCAAATCAGAGTCCAGCTTAGAGACATGGTCCGAATCAAACTGTACTAAGCTGTGGTWCACTTCCTCAATGGAATTTTAGAGTGCTCACGAGCAGTTTTTCCACCTGACTTCAAAGCTTTACCTGTCACTGAAATGCCAGGGGATTTGGTGATTACACGGAAAAAAACAGACTGCAGAAGGAGCCACGGCCGGCCTCTTCCCACGGTGACAAGGTGGGAAGTGCTGCRGTGTCTGCTGGACAGCTGGTCCAGGGAAGAACATTCCCGGCGTCCCGCCGCCTCCAGCAGGGAGCGCGGGATCCCACCGCCACCTGCCGGGCACAGCCGGGCACGCACCGCGAGCCCGGGATCCATCCMTGCATCCATCCATCCGTCTGTCTGTCTGTCCATCCGTCCGCTGCTGTGCATGAAGGCATCGAAAACAGTGAGTCAGTGAACACTAAGTGACCACTATTGTGCTGGTTATATGCCAGCTGGGGACAGGAGTAGCAGCTCCAGTTCTCTGGCTCTTTGGGTACTGGAAGGCCATGACCCACAATACTGCCATGACCCAGTGGCAATCTGATCTGTATAAATCATGTTTTATTGCCTGCTGCACTGTCTGCATAGAGGAGCCTGTGGCCTGAGGCAGTTACGAATCCAGAGCTGGGTAGAGACAACCCTTGAAGAAAAGCTAAAATCCATTCTCTGAAGCGGCTTCACAAAACCTCAGAGTTAACAGGTCAAGAAAGTGATACAGAACAACAGAATGCCAGAATGGTTTGGATTGGCAGGGATCTTAAAGCTCATCTTGTCCCACCCTCTGCCATGGACAGGGACACCTTCCACTATCCCAGGGTGCTCCAAGCCCCATCCAATCTGGCATTGGACACTTCCAGGGATCCAGGGGCAGCCACAGCTTCTCTGGGCACCCTGTGCCAGGTCCTTCCCACCCTCACAGGAAATATTTTTTTCCCAGGATCCCATCTAACCCCTGCCCTCTGGCAGTGGGAAGCCATTTCTCCTTGTCCTGTCACTCCAGAGCCTTGTCCCCAGTCCCTCTCCAGATCTCTTGGAACTCCTTTAGACACTGGAAGGGGCTCTAGGGTCTCCCTGGGGCCTTTTCTTCTTCGGGTGAACACCCTCACTTCTCTCAGCCTGGCTCCAGAGCAGAAGGGCTCTAGTCCCTTCTTATTTTCCTCCTGATACAAAAGGAAATTTTAAATTAAAAAAGAAGCCTATAAAAAAAAGCAACCCCCTGGAATTTAGCTGAGCAATCAGTCAGAGTAAAAAGGTTCATAGGAAAGATTTATTGCTCAGAGCTGWCCTGGCTCTGTGCAGGACTGGCAGGAAGCTCTCCAGCTCAGTCCAGCAGCTCGTCTCTCACCAGCACAGGAAAGCGTCGGCTGCCCTCACAGAGCTGAGTGTGGATGGCACGGAACAACCCTGCAGAGCCCTCCCGGGACAGCCTGGGCTCCAGCACAGGCAGCAGCTCTGCCATCATCACCTGGGCAAGAGCAAAGGACACAGTTAACCAGAGCCAGGAGCACTTCAGTATTCCATCAAGCGGCTGCTTAACAATAAAATCTAATCAGAGCAGTATGACTAATAACTGGCTAATTGATTGATGGATACTTTCTTTTGTCATGGTTAATAAAGGCAGAGAAGGTTCATTCTCTGCTCATGAGCTACCTCAGCAGCCACCCAGCATTCCCAGAGCAGTAAGATAAGTGGTAGTGCTGTTCCCCCACTGCAGGGAAGGCCCAGCACTGGGATGAGATYAGCATCCCACAGGAAACTGAAGCTGGTGTTGGTTCAGGAGCTCTGCAGCCACACGGTGAAGTGCTCACTCACCCAAGGGTAAGTGCAACCCCTCAGTCAGGACTGTCCCTGTCACCTCCCAGCTATTCCAAGACAGAGGTGTAAGTGGCCAGCTCCAGCCCAAACAGGCTCCAGGGGCTGCTCGAGCTATCCACCATTCCCTGGCCTGGCTGCTGGCCTGTTAAACCTATCTTGAGATCTCAGCCATGCTGTCCAACAGCATCACTAGCAGCTCTGGTATTAGGGCTCACTGACAACTCAAGCATAGGTTACTTCAATCAATGATCAAAAACTGGTCTTTGGTGCCCCACTTTTGAATTAATGCTCAGACAGACATTTTACCTGGGATTTTTTTTTTATCTGGCCTGAGGTAATGAAGTCTGAGCAGCCTGCACACCAAAACCCACCCAGCCTGCTGCACACTCTGCCTGCAGCCGACAACTGGACATGTCAGCCACCTCTCTAAAGGTGGCCAGAGCTCCAGCAGTATTTGGACAATGCTCTSAGGCACAGGATGAGATTTTTGGGGTGTCTCTGCAGGGCCAGGTGTTGGACTCAAAGATCCTTGTGGGTCTCTTGCAAGTCAAAGTATTCTGTGATTCTCATGGTTGTTCCCTGGTGGATACAGAGGAAGACCCAAACAGAACAGAGTACAGGGCATCTGCARGTTCCCTCTCCTGTTCTACACAAGTCTCTGCACAGGGCCAGGGAAGCAGGACACAGCTGCTCATCTCTGGAAAGTCACTTTCTACAGATATAAAAGCTGCCTAAGGGAAAAGGTGGCACACGAATGAGTGCTGCACTGCTCCACTTCCATCCACMTGCTCTGCTCCTGATACCTAAGAAGAAACAGATCTGGGCCATCAAAGACAGGCTAAGAGCTACCAGGAATTTTTATGACACTTGGCATTCCTCCATGGAAAGGTCATGGACAGGCTTGGCCCAGAAACAGGTACATCCTTTCCCAAGGTACTTATCTTGTTCCATGTCCATTTACTTCACTTGCACCAAGAATTTCACTTATCCTGCACACCCTACACAGAGCTACTTCAGACACTCAGGGTTCATCTGCCACAAAGCACCTATTTGGGTACATATGCAGAAGAAACTAAGTTAGCCAGCAGAGCAGCAGGAATCAGGCTTTGGCCACCACTTCATTTTGAGCAGATTAAAAAAAAAATCAAAACCAAATCCTTCATAATCCATAGATCCATAGTTCAGAATTATAATGCTGGAATCCCCTYTGAAATAAGGTAGCAATCTATATTCAGCCACAGGGCTGCAGTCAGTTATTAATAATGCCTCTCTCGGTTACAAAAAATTACTTTTTGAGCCTCTATCATTCAGGTCAATGGCAAATAATAGGTTAAAGGACTAGAGGTGATTTCACAGATCTTTTCTGCCCTTTTCTGCTGGCTGAGAACAAGTAATCTTCGTGTGGCAGATTCTCTGCTCAGGCTGCTGAAGAAGCTAACACCTCCTACCTTGTTCTTACAGTGTCAGAATGGTAAAAGCAAGATTAGCAGCACAGTGGTTTGAGTCTTAAAAGGAAAGGAGCAGAGAACAGAGGAGTTCACCAGCTGGAGGTCACCTAATGGGGCTGTGAAGGCCTGACAGAAAGGGCCATCAGGCATTATCAACAATGTCCTCCACTGCCAAATTCTTTCAGAATCGATAAATAAAAACTTATCAGGAGAGGGTCAGGCTCATAAAGGCCTCTGCTCTGGCCCTAACAAGTAAGTCCCATTCAGCAACAAAGAGAACAAGGTATAAAMACAAAAACATCACTGAGGGAACTTGCTGTGCTGCTCCTGTCCATCAACAAACCCTACAGCAGCTGCTGCCCTACAACTGCCCTTTTGCWTCCCTGCTCCAGGAGCACTGACACTTCTCCTGACTCACCTTTTGTAAGGCAATTTCTTGGTGCAGCATTGACACTTGCAGCTTCAAGGCAAACAGATCACTCAGCTCCTGCAGACTGGAGTAACAGAGGAGAGGGACAGCCAGCATGTCTACACTGTTACATGTCTGTCCCCTGGCAGAAGCACAGGCTGGAGAACAGCTCCCCACATCCCCTGTGCAGTCTGGGCGSAGCCTCAGCTGGGACTCCAGAGCTGCCAAGGTACAAGAAAAGGCAGGGGACAAAAACATACAAGTTAAATCTGTACTTGCAGAATTTATGATCTACTTWCTGTTCCCAGAAATGAATGACTAATGACACTGTATTAATCAGGGTAAGCTCCTCACACATGGCACAATCAGGACACCCTAAGCTATGGCCTGCATTGTCCCCTTCCCAGGCCTCCTGAACTGCATCAGTTCAAAGCTCCGAGTCTCTACTGAACACAGAGAGGTGGCACACAGTCATTACAGCTTTGTTTGCCACCAGAGAATTAAGTGCTCTGTTACTATTAAGATAGTTAGGAGAAAAATTACCCTGATCACAGGTTTCCATCAGTGTCCTGCACACAGATGGAAAACAGCCACATTCATTCCTGACCACAAATAAAGGGACTGTCTTACCTGCTCGCAGCTGCTGCAGCTTCTGCAGGCACTGGGACACTGTGGTTTGCAAACCCTCCAAGGTGAGAAGGCTTTCATACTCTCCTTGCAGAGTGGGAGGGTCTGCAATACAAGAGAAGCAGAGAAAAGGTGTGAGCACTGGAATCTTCCTCCCCAAAGAGTTTCTAGAATGGCCTTGGATTCACCAGACCTCATTTCAGGCAGAGAATGCTTCTGTCCCTCACATCCAGCACACGCCAAGAACACAAAACACATGGAACTAGAGCCCAAATCATCCTCATTTCACTCTCTGTGCCCCCGCTCCCCCTTTTTCCCTCTTCACCTGCAGGCTCAGCTTCCACATACTGCCTCAGACGGGAAGGGATATCCTGGAGGTCCCTTAAATCTTCCTCTATCTCTGCAGGACTGGGGGTCAGCTTCAGGGAGCAAAACTGAAACAGCAGCAGCTTAAGGAAGGTTCCACAGCACCAGCTCTGCATAGCACCCCAAGCCCCAGGCCAGGCCAGCTGGTATCAGGGCAGAGGGGACCTGCCTGGGAAGTGGCATTGCAGGGGCAAGGTGAGGACAGGACAACACAGCACAGCTGTGTAGGGCATGTTTGCCTTGTGGCCACATTTGGCTGGAGCAGAAGTTTTCTAAGTGCTCAACAGCTGTACTAAAACCCCACTGCCTGGAGACCCAACTGGAACTGCTGTTACTGGAGGTACAACTCTCTCCAGCTGGGAGCTCACTGCAGACCAATTGCACCCTGTGCCTGCTGGGAAAGGATACAGTTGTCTGGATCTTCTCCACAAAACGGGTTCTTGCAGCTGCTGCATCTGCACTTGTTTGGCACAGACGACATCTCTCCCATGCCCTGAAATTCCAAAGGGGCAGAAAGTTGAAGTTACACTCTTTTGYACCAGACAGTGCTCACGCTGAGCTGTGACACACCAGGGTGGCATATCAGCGCTTTAATTACAAGTACATCCCTCCCCCCCCTCACAGGTTATTTACCAGCCATTCCCAACTCATTTCCACAGCTGGTATCAGATCAACAAGCACACCCTGCAGAAAGCAACAGACACTGCAAGACACCMATTACTCTTTCCTCTTGTTTTGAGGGGAAGGATCAGAAGACAGACAGMACATTTTCATAAGCAGAATGTGAACTTGCAGCACATCGCTCATTCTATTGTATTGTCCYGTGTTTACATCCCACTGGAAACAACAAATTTTCTCTTTTTTTTCTTARGAATAAGTAATTTGCATTTCTGTACTTTTTTTTGGTGCACCTTTASTAACTGAATAAAGAGCAGATAGGACAACCTCTCACCCCAATTACTTCMGATTCCGAACCTCCTCAAGATTCTTCTTTAATGTTTTTTTGGGGRGGGCTGAAGTGGTATGTTTGTCAAGCAGAATGACAGCAGCATGTCAGGGATGCAATACAGAGGTTTAGGGACAATACCATGAGGAGGCTGGCCAGAACTTCACACAAGTCCAGTTTTTTTGTTTTTTTGGTTTTTTTTTTTTTTTTAATAAAGCATTGCACAAATAAAAGCACTATCAGAGAGATGCATTTCACTTACAGAGTTCAACATCCTCATGGATGTACAGTCCCCATCATATCCTTTCCTTAAGGACTGTCTCCCAAAACCTGATGCAGTAAGCGAGAGCCATCAGGAGGAAGCTTAAAATAGTTCAGCAGTGCCTGACTAATTCGAGTGTGCATGTGTCTTCTCTCCAGCTTAATGGGTCTTTTAAATCATGTTAAAATCTGCAGATTTCAGAAACAAATTATGCAAAGAAGTGGCAAGGTTAATGGAACAGGGAAGAACAGAAGTTCGCAGGCAAGATGCAATCCCTCCACAAGGGATCTCTAGTGCAAAGGTTATTCTCAATCTGTTACTGAGTTGGAAGCAATAGTGGGAAGTATAAAAATGACACCAAAGTGATTAGAATGCTGAAAGGCTCAATTTAGAAGTGAAACTTAAGGGTATAAAAGTCTTTACAACTTGCAGAAGGGCAACTAACAAACTGGTGTCTGATAAATGATAGTTCCCAAGAGGAGGAAAAATTCTTGAAGGCAGCACAAAGGGCTATAATTAGATTTAAGAAATGGTTTAAGCTTAATATCTGAACAAAGCACATAATGAGCAATCTGGTGAATTTCTCAGAATGTGGGAAACCTTTCCAGAAGACTGGAGAATGGACTAGAGCACCCAAACCCTAACCACCTGCACCATAACTGCAGTAACACTGTAATCAGCTCTGTGCAACAGTTCAGCAGCAGGAACCAGCCTCCAACACACACAGCCTTGATGGTTCCAAGCTACAGAGGCAGGGCAGGGATGATTGGAGAAACTTTCATTGGATAGTGTATACAGACACCCWCCCCATGGGGTGTCCTGCCTTCAACAGGTGCATCGTACCAGCAGAGACCTCTGCTGCACTGCTAAACCCACAATTAAAGCATTCCAGGACCTTTATGACTCAGTGATTAACAGTAATTAGCACTTGGAAAATAAAAGCAGCACTAGTGGCTATAATAACATGAGAACACATCCTCAGCAGCAGCCTTGCAGTATGGGAGCTCCTCCTSCTTCCAGGTTAGGCCCCACACCCCATGGGGTCACTGCCTCCCCTGGACACACAACACAGCCACACCCATCCCCTCCTCCCAGCCCTGAAGCTGAGGGTAGTTTTGGACTGAAGTGGTCAGGCTGGTCCTACCTGGAGTTCCTGGAATAGGSTTTCCTGTAGGGAAGGGGGAGCTTCAGATGGCATCTGCAAAACACAAGGATCAATCCTGGCTGCTGGAAAGCAATTAACTGAGCCTTGTCTTCCAACAGGGAAAATGGTGTTTTGTCAAAATCTGAAATTAACTTAGCTGCGATGGGAGATGCCAGCARCTCTGGAGATTGGATCCACCACTGTCTTCAGACTGTCCTCCGGGAAGGAGGATCCTGCATCCCTACCACCAGCTGCCAGAGGGTGGGAAACTGGGAGCAAAGCCACGGCACAGCAGAATAYTGACATGGAAACAACACGTTCAGGGAAGCCACTGTGCCACAACCTGTTGCCCTACCTCGGCAGGACAAGGCAGCTTTGCTTAGCACCATATCACACTCAAATAGCAAAGGGACATTCCAGCTTCCACTGGGAATATGATTCTTGACCCCAAACAGAATAATCCATAAATAGTTATTACAAAAAYAGGAGGGCTGGCAGTTGTTAGTCACATGCAGACTAGGAATACAAGGCCACCGTTGGGAATTTAAGTAAATGTTTGAATCCAGATCCCCATTCCCACAGCAACTGTCACTTGGTGTCTTTCCAATGCCAGTGAAAAGAGATAATTTCCTCCCTGCATAAACACAAGAGTTAAGTTGTGGCAGCTGAGAGAAGTATTCCTCAGAATTTTCCAGGGACATCAGATCTGAACTTCACTGTTTTGTTAAAGCAAAAGAGGAAAAAAATAACTTAAGACAGAGTGGTCTGAATGCAAAGTGAATCTTCCAATTATTATTTTGCTGTTTTTCCACAGAGAATCTCAGTAACACTGCCTTCATAAATCTTTCCTACACCAAACCCCTAAAACAACCGTATTCAAGTCAATCCTGATTTGTTACATGGGCAGTATGTTACAGGTTAAAAGGGACAGTATTAAACCCAGATGCCATCACTCTGAACAACACTGGGAACATGCTTTAGAGAGAGAGAGAGAGAGAGAGAGAGAGAGAGAGCAAATTCATGCATTATGTATTATCACTGTGTAAAAACCAGAATAAATAAAAAAATCAATATGCTATAATAGAGAGTGCACTCAGAGGAAAGCTAAGGCTCATGAAAGTTCTACGGCAACAGCTTTCCAAAACACTCACAGGGGACTATGAAACATCAAAAGACTTAATTGAAAGGTTTTCAAAGTCCCAGCTAAGAATAAGCCCTTAAAATGAAAACACTTACTCAAGCCACAATAAARGCTTTTAAATTGTATAGGATCCTTCCTCCTGAGAGGGACGTGACGAGGATGAAGTCATGCTGGGACCCTCAGAACAGCTGCAGTCAGGACAATCTGTACATGTGCTGTGAGTGTGGAGCAGAACAGGAGAGGTGCCCACCTCCCACACTTACCCCTTTTCCTGCAGGGTGCCTGTCCCAGCTGAGATGCTCCTTCCCCATGCACCTGCAGTGTCCTCCTTTTTGCTGGACTCTCCCWGGAAACCTGAACTTTTCTTTCCTGCATCAAGTAACTGCTTGCCAGCAGCTATGGAGTTTTTTTCCCCAGCACCTCCAGAAAAGCTTTGCTGCTCATTTGGGACAGACTCAGACAAGCCAGGTGTGTCCTGGGGTTCAGTTGCAGCACAGACCTCTCTGGCACTGGCACCAGCTGCTGTCCTGTGACTCCTTCCTTGTTTGGTAGTCACACCTTTTGAGGAGATCTTCCCAGCTGTCCTGGGGCCTTGAGAAACACACCTGGCTGGGGCTTTCCTTTGCAGTTTCTTCACATCTGGGTCAGTCCTATAAGGGGCTCTTAACTGATACAGAGAGGGCTTCTTCAGCAATGAAGGCTTTTTGCTTCCAGCTCTCACYTTTTTGCTCTCAGGAACATCCTCAACAGGTACAGCCACCTGCTGCTCTTCAGCATTCTTGGGAGCAGGTACCTGATGCTCTTCAGCTTTCTTGGGATCAGGTCCRTCACCTGCCCATTTCTGTCCTGTGGCTCCCTGAGCCTCTATCGGAGTCTTCAAAATGCTTTTCCTGACTTTCAGTGCCTTCTCTAAGGCCCTGTTCAGCAGTTCCAGCTCCTCCAGCTCCTTAGGTGAGGGCCTGTCCTCTGCAGAAGGAGAAAACACCGTCAGAAGGCTCAAAACTGGATGTTCCCCATTTGTCTCCTCACTTAGCTTGATCCTCCAGGTGCCATAGATGGAACGTTGCAGGGGGAGTAATTGTTTGGCTGTGGGAACAGCAACTGGGCACAGAGGATACAGGCAGGCTTMCCAGAAGCTCTGAGGAGCCAGGACAGATGTGAGCCACAGGAGGATAGTTCTCCCAAGTCAACCCCAACAAGTGGCATTCCCACACCTGGGTCAGGCCCACAGTCACTTCACCACTGGCCTTGGCTAACAAGGCATAAGTGCAAGCTAAACCCAACGAGGAAAGTGGGAGGAAAAAGGCAGAGAGAGGACTTAGGTCGATGCAGAACACTGGAATGACTCCTAACACCGAAACTGGCCCAGGGTCGGTGTGACATAAGGGAGCACTGGCCCRGGGGAGGCACTCACCATGTTCAGTGCTGGAGCCAGGCTGCGGCTGCTCCTCTTCCTCATCATCCCTGGGGAGAACAAACAGCGACGGGGACCAGTTGCTGCACGAGAACGGGACCAGCACCCCCGGCCCGCGGGGACTCGGACACGGCTGCGGGACCAGCGCCCGGGCCTCCCTCCCAGGCCGGGCTCGGGGCACCCTGGCGATGGAGGGGCCCGGGGAGGAGGGTGTCGGGCGGGTCCCCACTCTCCCAGCACCCGCACTTACCAGCGCCGCAAGAGAGCCCTGCTCCGCGCCGCCCGCCGCTCCAGCTCCCGCCGCCGCTCCGCGCCCTCGCCCAGCGCCGCCCTCAGCGCCRCCGCCGCCCTGCAAGGCCCAGCGCGATCAGCGCCCAGCGGGACCCGGCCGGCGATTCCGCCCCGCCAGGCCCATCTCCCTCTCACCTTCGGCCGCAGCCCATGGGCAGCATCGGCACAGCCGGGTCCTGGCTGCTCCGCCCGCTCCCTATGGCCCCGCTCCCTATGGCCCCGCTCCCTATGGCCCCGCTCCCTATGGCCCCGCTCCCTATGGCCCCGCTCCCTATGGCCCCGCTCTCTATGGCCCTGCCAGGACCGGGGCGGGGCGTGTCCCGCGCGCGGCGAAGGCGGGAGCAGCCCCGGGGCCTCAGGGGTTCCGGGCGGTTCCGCGCTGCCGCTCTGCCCGGCTCTCGGTGTTCTCTGTGGCGGCCTGGGCGGGCGTGACAGTGCCGGGGATCCYCCGCCGGCCGCGGGGAAGCCGCTTTTCCCTCCGCTGCGTTCGGTGCTCCCCTCTCGGCGGCGGGGGCTTGGGCAGGGCGGGTCCGTGCCGCAGCCTRTGGCACCCGCCTCCTGCGGTCAGGGCACAACCGGGCTTTGTCCCCTACAGACTTGGTGGCACGTCCCGAGTATACAGAGCTCCCCGTGCTGTGGGGCTGGAGTCCTCCCTCCCCCCCGGGCGCCGCACAGGCCCCATAGCTGGAGGTGGAAGCGGGACCGTCCCGGCGGGCGGGTGTCGGCTCGGTCCCATAGGAGCCCTGGCAGAGCCACCACCAGCGCAGCAACACAGCGCACGGCAAACTGCTGCTGCTGCCCTTGGTTTGCATCAGCGAAGAAGTGAATTTGTGGGTTTTTTTGAGAGGGGAATTTGCCTTTTCCTGCGGCTGTGGGAGCTGCCRGGTTGGTACTGCGGGCTCCGAGTGCTGCTGGATCCCGTCAGGATCAGCTCTTGCTGCGGAGCAGTGCAGTTCTCCACAAGAGCCCGTAGCTGGCACTCGGCACTGTCTGCTCAGGCAGCTGAGGAGCAGGAATCCGGTCCTCCCCCTTGCACAGCAGAATGGAAGTTAAGAAAATTTTAGAAAGTAGGAAAAAACTGGTTCTTTGCCTTCGACTGAATCTTCAGGTGGAGACGTTCATGGTTACCTGCAGCCGCGTGACCACAGACCCTAAAAAAGGAGACATTTACAATGCCAGGTGATTTTTGGAGACAGGACTTTAATACCCTTTATAGAACATTACAGAATAACAAAAGAATCATGGAATCGATCACACATTGTGACTTTCTGCATTCGCCATCACAACATTCTTCCAGTTGTAATTTACACTTTTGGCACATGTGAAGAATGATTTTTCTTTCTGTAGAGTTGGCAACTGAATCTGACAGTTAGGCTGGCCCTGTTCTGCCCCATATCTTGTCAAGAAGTGTTCACTGTCAGAACACTGAACATTTCTGGTTCTGATTCACGAGCCAAGACAGACCCCAGCCRGATAACCCTGGGCTCAGCAGGGCTGACAGGGATGTGAGGCACTTCAAAAATAGCTTAACCAACAAAGTCAGCAACTGCAGTGCTCTGAGACCCCAGGGAACACAGCAGCAGGACAAGAGGAGCTCATTTTCAGACAGCTGCTTCTCTACAACTGTGAAATATCCTGAATCAGAAGGGACCCACAGCGATCACAAGTCAAACTCCTAGCCCTGCACAGAGACTCCAGCAATCCCACCCTGTCCCTCAGAGTGTTGTCCAAATGTTTCYGGAGTTCTGGCAGCCTTGGGGCCGGGACCATTCCCTGAGGAGCCTGGGCACTGCCCAGCACCCTCTGGGGGAACAACCTTTTCCCGATACTCAGCCTGACCCTCCCCTGACACAGCTCTGGCCGTTCCCTCAGATCCTGGCCCTGGTCACASAGCAGAGATTGGACCTGCCCGTTGGGAGGAGCTGCCGTCCCTGGTGAGCTCTGCCCTCAGCCTCCTCCAGGCTGAAGAAGCCAAGTGCCCTCAGCCACTCCTCACACAGCTCTAGTACCTTCCAGACCCTTCACCATCTTCGTGTCCCTCCTTTGGATGCTCTCCAGTAACTTTAGGTTCCTCTAATACTGCGGTGCCGAAATCTGTTCCCCTGCAGGCTGGGACTGGCCAGGAGATGGAGCCCTGGACTTCTGGAGGCGCCAGCATCACCTGCTGTCCCAGAGGGAGCGCAGCCTGGGCAAGAGTGACAGTCTGCTTAGGCACCTGCATGCTGTTGACATTTAAGTATTAAAAACAGCCAAAAGAAGGATGAGGCTGCTGTAATCTGGGAAAGTCACCTGAGTCCTGAAGCCCACTGGAACAGCACTACTGACATCTCTACCTTTTGCATCAAGTCTCTGTGCTAAAAATGATCCCCAGAACTCARAGATCCCTTTGTATTAGAGATGAACCAAGTGTGTGCTCCTCCTGAGCCTCTGGGCTTTGTGCAGGTAKTAGGATTCCCCGCAAAAGACAAGAAAGCTGTAATGCAGGCACTTTGCTGTTAATCTGCACCTCACTGGTGTCAGGAAAATTAATCCACAAGCACCAGAGGTTTATGTCCAAAAAGGAGACAAACGAGTCCCACAACTTTATTCATGAATAAAGGGAGAGGTCATGGGCATTTCCCATCGGGTCTCTCAAATTCTTAGGGGACGCAGCCTCTTTTTATCCCAATTTCCTGGCTGCAGTTCCCTCTCTCTTTCCCCATTGGCTGAGGTACTTGAGAGGTACAGGCTCCCCGAAACACCTGATGAAACCCCCCCTTCCACCATACATTGCTCCCTTTCAATATACATCTYTGTGTCTCTGCTCTTGTAGTCTATTAACATAGTCTGGGATAAGTCAATCAAAGGAATTCCTATGGAAATTYTTCCCACTGCTTCCTTCTATCTCCCAGTATCAGCCTTATCTTACCCCTAGAGTCAGAGTTTGTTTGTAAATACACTCCCTTCTCATTCCTTTCACTGGGAAGGACAGATGACAATCTGCATGTCGTTTTAGAGTTAAGATTAAGATTAAGATGAGGCAAGAACTGCTGCCACCACAAAATYAGGAGGGGCAGTGTGGCAGGAGGTGGGGAGGGCAAGGCTCTTCCTGCCCCTKCCAGCCCCAGTGAGCACTGGTTAAACCATGGGTGAAACCATGGCAGAGGCGTTGGGGCAAGGTGATAATTGGCAGGTGGAGWGCAGAAACTTCCTAACTGAGATAAAACCACTCTCCTGCTGATGCTCAGGGCTCAAASTGTGCCAACACTGGACATCACAGCTCAGCTCCCACTCCCCTCCACAGCTCCATGATGGGCTCCTGCTGTCTCACCTTCTGAGGACCCTTGCAACAGAGCAGCTGCTGGGTAAATCAGTTCCTACCTTGTCTTGTGGGTGGTTGGCTTACCAGTAGATCATCTGACAAAGCCAGTTGAGGAAAAAGTTACAGGGTGGGTGTGTGTGTGTGTGTGTGTGTGTGGGTGTGTGTGTGTGTGTGTGGGTGTGTGTGTGTGTGTGTGTCTGACTCTTTTCACTGAGAGCACTTTGTGCTCAGAGGGGCAGATGCAGCAAAGAGCCATATTCTGTTCAGATAGCAACAGGCCTTGGCCCCAATACGGACCTGGTGTGGCACAGTTGGCACAGGAGTATTTTGTGCCAGGGCCTGGGTTTTAAACTAACACAGCCTGAAGTGTGTTTCTGCTTCACTGCATTCCTTGCTGGGAAAATACTGGGTATACCTCAACCTATCACACATGATAAGTAACATTTCAACTGGTGCAAAGCTTTAGTTACAAAAGACAGGTTAAAATACTCTGTGATGTACAAGGCTCTGGCATCAGTTATTTTTGGGGCCTGCAGTGATGAGGACCTTGTTTAGGTGAGATGTAGTGGAAGTTACTCTGTCAGCACTCATTCACTGCTCAGGCTGACAGGTGTCAGGTGATATTCTGCAAACCCTATTTTTGTTTTCCTAAGAGCTCAACTCTCAAATACSTGTCGGCCAATAAAAATAACTGTCCAGGCACTGGGATCTCCTGCTGGGTGCCTAMAACTCTTTGAAAGCCTTGCCCATAGCCCATCACAGTAGGCTTCCCTGGGGTAAAATTCAAGCAGACATCACACACCACTGAACAACAAGAAGGAAAAAAAAGATTAAGCAGGAGATAAACTTCATCACTAAAAAACCTCYCCACACTTTCTATATTATTGTTACATTATATTATTCCATGAGCTGTGCTCCTCCTGTGTGCTGCCTGTGGGGATCRGTGCTGTTTGCCGAGCTGACACAGGAAAATCCTTCCTGTGTACACCGGGATGTGGAGGTTCAATCCCAASCAGCAATTCAGCCCCACGCTGCTCATTCACCTATTCCCAGTGGGATGGGGGAGAGAATCGGAGAAGTGAGAGAACTCATGGGTGGAGATAAAAAAGTTTATTAGGGAAAGCAGAAGCCATTCAAGCAAAACTGAACAAGGAATTAATTCCCCACTTCCTTGGGCGGGTGTTCAGCCCTCCCCGGCACAGCAGGGCTCCATGACATGTTCCTTGTGATAGGGAGGATGTGTGCTAWTGTCTTCACAAACAATTCCATGAGTGAGATATGGGTGTTAACGTCTTTGAAATGGGTCTTAATGTCTCTGCTAACTGCAAGCCAACAGATCCCTGACCATTTGACTCTTGAAACAGAGAAATGGGTCAGCACAAGCCTGACTTTCTGAACTGGGGAGTAAATGATAGGTTTAAACAGGGAATATGTGGTAGGAGGTTCTGTAAGGCTGTACCATCATAGTACCTCAGCARTGGGGAAAGGAAGAGGGCAGTGTGCAGCCRGGAGTTTAGGATAAAAGGGGGCTGTGCCCTCCGAAACCATGAGAGAGAAAACCCCACAGGCATATGCCCCAGTGGACTCTTTCTCYTTATTTGAATAAAGTTGCAGGAYTCCTCTGTCTCCTTTATGGACACTGGCTTTTCATAGCATGGCTTTTCTGCACACTTGGGAAAACAAATGCAATCCCTTCAAACATAACCCTATTCCTTCTTCCTTCCCCAAATTTATTCACTGAGCTTCACCCCCYGTTGTCTGGATATTCCTGTTGGGATCAACTMTCCTGGCTRTTCTCCTCCCAGCTCCTCATGCYTCCCCAGCCCCTTGCTGGCAGTGTGGGGTGAGGAGCAGCAAAGCCCTTGGCACTGA